TAATTACTTATAATTATAAAATGTTTTATTTTTACTATAGCAAATAAAAATGTTCGTATAGTTACTCACCACCAAAATGATTTTTAAGTTCTACTATAATTGGATATTCAACAATACGGAATCATATTAATTATTAAAATATAATACCTTTACTTGGTATACGTGATCAACACACCAGCGTACCATATTTACTAGGTACCTGGTACCTACCTATTATGAACATATTGTATAGAGGGGTTACAGTGGGAAAAATTCCAGAGGGGACTAATGTCTCCATATAGTTTTAAGCGTTTCATATAAAATTGTGTGTTTAATGTATTAATGTCTAATGTATAAAATCCTAATTTGTTAAAGGGGACACTTTTTAACCGCCCTCAGAGGTAGAGCCGTAGAGGGACTGAATCCTCCCTCGTCCCTCCCACTTTAACCCCTGATTTTATATTTGTATCAAGTCTACATAACTACGTATCTAGTATCTACGTATGTTTCATACAGTCGTACAATAAAAGCATAATTGGTACAAGGTATTTTAATGAAAGAGTTGGTTACAAATTACAATAATATTATCTTTGAAGTATCTCTATTACTTATTTTTTAAACGTATTTAACTTTTTAAGTAGGCCTTTGCAACAGTATCTATTGGGATAGATTTGCACATACTAATTTTATGTTTATTCATACATGGGTTACATATAAATGAGTAACAGAGTAATAAATAAAAACATATGACATGCAAATGGCCAAATTTCAGGGGTGGTAAAAATTAAATATCCTCCTACTCAGAGGGGGGCTAGAATTGTATCAGGAGACCCTGATAACTGATAGTATAAACTAAATATGAATATAAACTTAAGGGCTACAGGTAAAACTGTTATATGAGCCTCCCCAAGCCCCCTAATATCTCCTAAACACGTGGGTCAACTTCACAGTGTTATGAACGTGAAAATCTTTATTTTGCTTTTAAATATACAATTTTTTCAATATTTTAACAACATAATAAACATTTAAAAAGATACTCTATTCATTTTTTTGTCGATTGGCAGCGGTGAAAAATTCGACTATAGCGGATTAGGGTTAAACTGGCAGAATGTCTTTCTCGTGTTTATTTTCGAACGGTATCCAAAACAACATCATTTTTATTTATATTTCCATGCAATTACCTAATAGATGTATACAATAAATTAAATTAAAAAAATTAAAATAACAGTTCATAATGTTAATATAATATATCTATTTATGAAGTATGACCTGTAATACACTTCAATAATTTTTGATAATGTGGTCTTGTAAAATGTATTATGTTAAGGTGTAATTATAATATAGGTGTAAGTGATGTTTCTTACTTTCACAATTATTCACTAAAAATAAAAATTTTTTTTAATAAAATATAGTTGTTTGATTGCAAGGTAACTAAATAGTTCTGCTCCAAATTTATTGGGATAGGCGCGCTAGTGGAAATTGATAATTTTATTTTCGGTATTATTTATCACTTTTTAGTTTTTAAGCAAACAAAACTACGACAAAATAAACACGATCTCGATGAAAATCCAACTGACCAATAATTATAGTTGTTACTTGTTTGAGTCTCGGCCACACAACTGCCTATATAACCTCACAGTAGATAATAAATACCTAATAGATAAAGACGTTGTCAATATCATAAATTCAACAATCAACAATTAATGATAAATGGTCGGGATAAAAAGTGTGGATTACTAATAAAACATGTGCATGGAAATCATATTGTACGTATAATACTCTACCTAGATCATTCATAGAGTTTATTGTTCTCAAATGAACTCAAATTCCCACTTACGATAAAGTAAATATAACATAATTATAATATTAAAAAAAATATATAAAATGCCAATATAGAGTGGATCATAATTACATGTTCTAGATCTAGAAAGACTCAATTGGCCACCAACTGTAATATAAACCACAAATATAATTATAATACTATAATAAAACTACTAAAAATTAAAATATTCATTAAACAAGTGACGTAATGAAAGAAATCAAATATAATGAAATATTGTTTTAAACGTAATATTTGTCTCATATTTCTATTACGTATTACACGACCAAGTTTCCCAGAAAAATATTAAGCGAATATCATAGTTCATGGTAGTTTAAAAAAAATTCTTGTAATAAAATATCTTACTTGATGTGGGGAAGGGCTTACTTGACGACAGCCCCACTAATATTTTATAAATAAAGGACTCTAAAGCTAGCTCTAAAAATGATCGTGCAAGTTCAAGCAATAATAGCTAAAGGCAAACAGATTATAAGCATAGTTTTTTTTTAATGTTAATGATTTGAAGGGGGGTATTGTAAATCATAATGTACTTGGGATGTATAAAATCATTGTTTGTCGTTTGAATATACTATTTTGTCAAATTGCTTATGACATAAAAAACAGTTAAAATATAATAGTACCTACCTACTAATCTACACATTTTTTAGTACATTAGCAGTGACGACAAATTTGATGATGGCAGAGTCAGTGAGTGTCAATCCCACTCGTGTTTGTTTTTGAATAATATCCAATAAGGAACATCGCTTTTATTTATATTTCAATACAATAATAATTATCCAAGTAAGAGTATCTAGGATTTTTTCTAGGTGTGGGGGATATACAATTTTTAATAGACATTCAGTATACACATATACTCTATTCAAAATAAGTTTGGAAAAACTGCTCAGCCTCTGAACGGTAGAACTGCTGTGATTGGCTACAGTAGTCGGCCATGCCGACCGCAGCCATTGAAACTGCAAATGCGCAAACCACGACGCATTTTTTCCAGACTTATTTTGAATAAAGTATAGTATATTCATATTATTATATACATGGGGGACGAGGTGGCCGAGCGGGCTAACGCGTCGGTTGCGGCGCAGCCGATCCGGGTTCGATCCCTGGTCACCGGGCGGCATTTTTCTTCGGACAAGTCACGGTGTCCGGAGAATAAGTGCCGCCATCCCCCACTCCAGGGCATGGCAGAAACCTACGGGTGCCCCAATAGAAATTTTGCCAAACACTGATGTGTTCCTAATGAATACGAGACACGTAAAAAAAAAAAAATTATATACATGTTATATTCTGTACAAAATTTGGTCTCTCGGGGGACATGACCCCCATAACCCCCCTGTAGTCTGTAGATACGCCACTGAATAGAAGTATTCATGTATATAATTAATATAAGAAATTATAATAATAGTTCATAATATTAATATATTTATGAAGTATGTACCTATCTAATATGACCTGTAATACAACTTAACAATTTAAAATGTTTTTATCTTGTAAAATGTTTTATAATATTAATGTGTAACTATATTATAAATGTAGGCTATTTTTCTTACTGTGACCAATAATACCTAAAAACAAATGTTAATGAACAAAATTAAAGCGTATAGGTACAACATTTTTTTATTGAAATATGCTATAGGGTAGATAATTACTTCGTTTAACTACCGGTTTACCGTTCACGATTTCAACTGTAAATAAAGTGAATACAATTCATTTTAGTTAATAATTATTAGGGCTTGGATTAAAATGCCCTAAAAACCATCTAATAATAGCAAATTATACAGTAACAAAATGCGTTTTGACAGCAATCAATGTTCTTAAAAATTACCAAATTTTTTTTATATTTTTTATTTAATCTAGAAGTTTTGTTTTAAATACTATTCATTATAGACTCAGTGGCACATCCAAGATTAGTTTGGAGGGGGGTCTGAATTTTAAAACAATTTATATTTTATAAGGCAGATGTTTGTGAGTGGAGAGGAAGAGGTTAGGTTAAGTTAGGTTAACCAACCTTAAGCTTTTACTCATTTAAGCTTTGAGAAATATAAAAAACCGCCAAAAAAATGTTTGTTTCCGCTAAAGTGAACAAAATGTTTGTTTTCGTTAATCGTTTCAGCCAAATCTATAGACATAAATTGGTGCATGGGTACTGTATTCATAAATTTCATACAAGTAATAAATTATTGTATTATAATATATTTTTTAATATTTTTTACTATTGTTATTTTATTTATGTGATCACTTCATCAGGTTACCTAGTAAATACATAACAAATTCTTTTCGCATATATAATATATATATTTTGACAAATAAAAATCTAGATCGTATTTTGAAATGTTCTTAATATTATTGATTCGGTTAGTTCAACCAAGGACGATAACTTTTCGTTGAAGTTGGAATATTATATGTATAGGTACCTAAATATCTAATGTGGTTATTTTAAAACTACCTATTAAAAAATAAAAATATTTTACCAAACTTTAATCAAATAATTTATGCTTAAAATCAATTCAATTGCCTTGTTCAAAACACAACAAGCAGAATGACAATATACTTAGATCTCTGGCTCTTGATGTTTTTGAGAACTTTGACATTTAATTTGATAAATTATAATTTTGACTCTTTAAATGTGTGTACGGAAATCATATTGCTCGTATAACACTCTACCTATATCATTCACAGAGTTTATTGTTCTCAAATGAACTCAAATTACTGCTTATGATGAAGAAAAATTAACACATTATTTAATTATTATAAAAATACATATATTTTATATATAATACCAATAGAGTAAGATCACAATCACCTGTACTATCATAACCCACACGAAAAGCACCTGTAATAGAAACCATGATTATAATATTATAATACTACTGCTAAAACTACTAAAATTAAATCACCTATTAAACAACTGATAAAATAAAATAAATCAAAAATAATTAAATATTATTTTCTAATATTTCCGTTACATATTACAAGCAGAAATGTTTCCTAGGAAAGTATATTATGAAATGTCAACACTGGTGACAATAATACATTATACAAGTTCAAGTTTAAACAAAAAATGTTTGAATTATAAATATTTTATATTATAATGTAAGCTATTTCTTTTACCTTTCCCAGCGAACTCTAAACACAATGTTTTTACACACAATTAATATGTATAGTTGCAAGGTATAACCATTTTTTATTAAAATATGCTGGGGTAATAATAATTACCCTTTCTGGATAACACTTCCTTTTCGGGCTCGGGCTCACCTGAAAGTAAAGTGAATACAATTAATTTTAGTTAGCAATTATTAGACCCTGGATTTAAATGCTCTAAAATTAATCTATTAATAGAACATTATGCCGTAACGAAATTAATTTTGGCAGCAATAACGTCCCAAATAAATGACCCAATATTTTTTTACATTTTTATTTACCCTAGAAGATACTTTTAAAATACCCAGTGAGCCCAGGCGTATCCAGGTTTAATTTGGGGTGTGGGGAGGAGTGATTAGGTTAAGTTAGGTATTTGAGTTAAGTCTTTGTGGGTTATAACTTATAAGTTTTTTACCAAACGAAAATTCTCGTTTCGGGATAGAAATTTAGAACACGATTGCGATAACGGTCCTTATCGGCCGCACCTTTTTGAATAACACTATTGCTAACGTTTTTACATGTTAACTTTCATGCAACTTTGCTGCATCGATTTGTTACCAATTACAAAATAGTAGGTATAATATTAAATTACAAAATGTTACAAACACTATTAAATACACTCTAACTTAAACAATACGATTTTCGTCAATTGTTTCAAAAATGTAATTATTTAAAAAAAATTTTTATTTATTTGTCAATATGAGATACACTGAAATATGTTTTCCTAAGTAGGTACTTATTGCCAGTTAATTTTAGATACCTCATATTATTATATCTTTGATTTGTTCAAATTATTTCATAGTAGGTATGTACTAGTTTTCTTTCCGCGTTCAAAAGTAATAACTTTAAAGTTTTCCATTATAAACACTATAGTCTATCTTGACAGGGGTGGAACATTTTTTTGACACTACTTACCAAAATATGTGCCTTTAAATTATGAAAAATATTATATATATTATAATCTATAATTTAGAGTACAATACAATATGTACAATTATTATGATAAACAACAACGTCTCTCGAAAAATCATTTGCAATCGTTTGATGTTTGAATATAAGGTAGATTACAAAATAATGTAATAAATTATATATAACTAACAATGTGTAATTATGTAAACATAGGCCGTGGTTTATCTTACCTTCTTCTAAACCCTCTAAAAACATAATGTTTTTTTTTTAACAAAATTTAGGTTTATATAACTGCAAGACTGCAAAAGTACAACATATTTCTATTGCGATATATGCGTATTGCGTACTGCTTTATTAATATTTAATATACTTACTATTTTTGGATGACTTTTTCTGTTTGTCAACAACCATAGGTATAACTGTAAATAAAGTGAAGACAATTAACTTTAGTTAGTAATAATTAGAGCCAGGATTTAAATGCGTTAAACACTTAAAATACTAAAAATACTCAAAAATAGCAAAAAATGCATTTGGGCAGCAATTATGTCCTCAAAAGTGACCCAACATTTTTTATTTTTATTTTGTTAGGTCCCAAAAACTTAAAAATTATTATAGTTTATGCGTCACCGATTGTTTTGAGAATGTAAAATTTGATATAAGTATATACCAAAATGTATATTTATGTACATGTTAAATTTTCCGTTGAACTATTTTACATGGTAAATTAATATATTGTTTTATTTATTTATTTTATTTAAACCTAATAAGGCACATGTTCTAAAAAAAAAAATTTTCCGGTGATATAGCTGGTAATTCAGTGGCGTCATTTCTTTTTTTATTAGACTAGGGCAACTTCTCCCTGCTTTACCGACTCAACATTTTTTTCACTTAGATTCACATAGCATAGTATTATAGTGGTTAAGGTGGTGGGGAGAGTGGTGGTAAATGTGCCGACTTAAGGTTGATGTAAATACTCTCCCCCCCCCAAATGACGCCACTGTGGTAATTGATTGGACAATGTATAAAGTTTAAAAAACAAAACAAGAGGAAGGACAATAATTAATTAAAAATTCATTTTACAAAAATAATAAATTATAATTCAACAGAAGGATTAATTTTAATGTAAAAGTGTAAGATCTATAATTGTCATAATTTTTTACCTGTAGTACGAAGAAAATTATTTAAATTTTGAATAAAACTTGATAACGAAAGAATAGAGAAAAAGTCTACGTTATATTCATTAGTTAATTGCATAATGCGATAATCGGACAATTACATCTAGTAACAAGTTCGTTTATTGGGATTGTAAAATGTACCTAATATTAGATCTATTGATACGTTGCGGAACCAAAAAGGATAAACGACTGAGGAACTAAGCCACTCAGGACAATCAATATTGTTATGAAGATCATTATATAAGAACCATACATCAAGTTATTTCCTGCACGTAATATAAATGAGTCAAGAACAAGGATATCCAAAATAGTAGGGTAATAACTAAGAAGTGGGAGGAACACGGGGTGTACTATTAAGTACTTAAGTACGATATATGAAACGATAACAAAGAAAACCCTAAATACTTATTTTGAAAAGCTTCCAACAACGTATTTTTAGATAAAACTAATAGGTACATAAAACATTTATCCACGTCATTTTTTCATAGAGTAGACTGGTCTGGCATATTTAACCTACTTTTCTAAATATTTACAAAATGATTCTTTTTTAAGTTTATTGGATGGAATATTTGCAGATGGCACTAATCATGCAAATATCAATACTAAACGAATTACTATTACTTAATACAATAATAAAATTGTTGAAGTTTTTCTTTTTTTTTTAAATATAATTTATTGCATTGACTTTTTATTCCCTTGATATAGGTTGATAAATTATACATTTTTTTTTCAACCATGTCTTAAATATTAAAAATTTTACAAAGTAAATGGTCTAGCACTCCAGCCAGATGTAAAAATGCCTGCTCCAAATATATTAGCGTATGCACACAGTGAGGCATAGATTTTAATTTCTGTATTATTTATCACTTTTTAAGCAGACTAAATTATGACGAAATAAACGCATTACTGACTAATAATTATAGTTGTCTGTTGTTCGAGTCACACTATTGTCATAATAACCGCACCAGTAGATAATAGATATTAGATAAATATTAAAGACGTTATTATATCATAAATTGAACGATTGGCAACTAAAGATAAATGGTCGGAATAAAATGTATCGATCACTCATAATTTATGTATGATTTCTAGTTAAATGTATTTATATACCAATTTATATTTCAAGAGTTTAATCTAATAATGTGTGCACGGAAATGCATATTGCTCATACACTATCTATATCAGTGATCAGCAACCGGTGGGCCGGATTCGGCCAAAGTGACTACTCCATACGGCGATTATTTTTTTTTAAATAAGACTAATATATTTTTATTTTTATCTGACACAGCCTATGAAACTTTTTTAATATTTGAATGCTTCCCCAGAGTCCAAAAAAGTTGCCAACCACTAATCTAGATCATTTACAGAGTTTATTATCATTTATCCTCACACGAACGCAGATAACAAAATTAATTATACATAACATAATATTAAAAAAAAATATATATATATATAAAATACTAATAGAGTAGATCATAATTACTGGCATTTCCACAACCCACATTAAAACCAGCTATATAACAGAAATCATTGTAATAATATTATTACTTCTAAAATTACTAAAAATTTAATTTTTTTATTATATTTTTACAAAAGGGGTTTGCGCCCAGGTAAAAATGGTAGGTACATAATACATATAAGTATATAACAGAATATAATATTACAAATTACAATATAACAATATGACAATTATCAAATAACAAGTATATGCTAAAGGAGATTGTATACGGGACATCTATGCACTTGACCCACCCAATTTCTATGATACTATCCATACCACTATACCAAAAGTTAGCAAGTATAGTTAGCAAATATTAAAAAATTTATTGCATAAGTTAGTAAATTATTTTCTCAAAGGTTAAATGTCAGCCCACCCACTTTATCCAATCATATCAAAACAAGTACCGGTAGTTAGCAAATAGTAGTAAATCTATTTTTGATGTCGGAAAATTAAAAAAAAATTGTTGGTGAATTATTTTATTCAAAAATTTCTGTGACTAAAAATACCATAACGCAGCCTGTCCATGCAGGCATGCAGCTCGCATGGTCCCACTGACTTCAAACAGGTATCGACATTTGGCAATTTTCGTGAAAATAATTGCATGTATCTCGAAAGAAATTGCAATTCGTTTGGGGGATGGTAAAACCCAGTTTTTTTTTAACCTAATGGAAAATAATAATTTTAGATTTTATTTTATAATTTAAAAATATGGGTAAGTACTTGAAATTATATTCAGTGTCGGCCTGGACATGGCCCCTGGGCCGCGAATGTGGCCAGGGCCCCTCCGATTTTTTCAGGGTCTGGTACAAGTTTAATACAATCCATTATTCATTGACCCACTTGTAATCTACTGTACAGCATAGCGAGTAGCGACATCCACTATGCCGCTTTTTTTTAGTTTGTTTAGCGTGTGCCTGGTCTATATAGGAAGTAAGGATCCCGTAAAGTATTTATCGATGTATTTAACCGTACGTAATTTTTCTTTACAGGGCCCAGATACTTGCCTATTATTATAGTGTGAGCAGGGCACTATAAATTATAACAGTACAAGTTTCAAGTAATAAATAAGAGGAGGTTTTTTTGGATTATTTGTGCTAGGTACTGCAAGTTAAGTTAGGTTTTATATCTCTCCTTAAAAACAATGGGCTCAGACGAGGCCACGAGGGCCGCTCTCACCCGCCCTTCAGCGAGCTTTATTTCTATTGCCCAGTATACAATGGTTGTTTATACAAATATGGTGTATGTCATTTAAAAAAAGTGAATTAAAATTATTTGTTTGTATTAAATTTACAACTAGCCTTCAGAAATATGTGTAATATAATATAAATACAAATATGTTGCTCAAGTTTCATGTGTTAACTAACATTATTTCCTTCATTTTTTTTAAAATTAAAAAGTGGTATGTCATTGTCATATTAAGCCAGTCTCCCCTAATTATATAAATATGGAAGATGTTTCTTACCGTCACCATAAATTGCTAAAACATAGTGGTTATGAACAACATTTAGGTGTTTAACAGAGAGAGTATAGGTACATACAGCATTTTCCTACTGCAATATACTGTACTATTAAGGGGATTCCACCCGGTGATTCTCAGTCTTTGTCTAACACACTCGCAACATAGTATTTTAGACGTGTTTTTTGCCAAACATACCAATTGATCTAATGAGTCGATAAGAATTCTGAAAACAGGTTTGAATTCGTCGTCAAGTCTACTTGAAAGCTACTTTCCCACATGTTTGATATTATCCCCCATATTCCAGAAAACGTCATATTAAAAAAGAGTATTTAAACATTTCTGTATTTAAGTTTTTGGAGAATCTAAAATCAAAAATCAAAATTAAGGGAAAATTAATTTCAAAAAAACTTGATGACAAATTCAAAACTGTTTTAGAATAATTCTTATCGCTTCATTAGATTAATTGGTATGTTTGGCAAAGAATCCGTCTAAAATCCTATGTGTCGTGTTATAATCCTGTGTGTTAGACAAAAACAGAAAATCCCGGTATAGAATCCCCTTAATAATTAATTCCTACTTACCTTTTTCGGCGACAAGGTACTCCTTGCCATTCTCATCTTTTTCTGTTAATAAGGTTAATACAATTAATTTTAGTTAGTAATTATTGGAGCTCGAATTTAAATGCCATATAAAACAATCCAAAAATAATCTAAAAATAGCAAAACAAGCCATAAAAAAATTAATTTTAACAGCAATAATTTCCATAAAAATAGCCCAATATTTTTATTTGTTACAAAACATGAAAAAGTATAATAGATGCGTCGATCTTGGTTTTGAGTGTTGAATGGTGGAAAACTTCACTTTCAAAGATGAATTATTCGATCTAAGCATGTTAAAATGTTAAATACTATCTACGTCGAACTATTGTATTATATTTTAAAACATAAAAGATAGGTAAGTATTATATTATCCAAAAAAATATTTATGTACATGCTATAACTTGTTTAATCGTCCACATATATGTAGTGGAAACTTATTAATTGAAGTAACATAATATAATATATATATTACCTGATGTTAATTCTTCTTAAATATTAGTTAGGTTTTTTGGTCTTTTAAAATGTTTAAAATGCTTTTCTTGTAATTAAAACTTTACAGTGTAATTAAAACTTTTTAGTACCTATTTGTAAATTGCGATCACCTGATACAAGTTAACTAGGCGGGTTAGGTGGGATCCTGATTTAAAGTAAACTGATGGTCACAATATGCATGTAGATTGTAACTTGTTTTGGGTCTGACTGCTGGTCACACAACATCCGTTGTGCACACAGTCAAAATACTATATAAAGACGATATCGACGTTATTGAACATCACAAATAGAATGATTAACAATTATTATTTATTAATGATAAATAGTAGGGATAAAAATTCGATGGCTTAGTGCACACTTGTTATAAGTCACAAAAGTGAAATTGTGCAGGAGAGCTATTTTAAATTTTAACTTTTTTGACACCCGCTTAACTTAAGTAATATTTTAAGTCAATTCGTTTTTTCTAAATTGAAAAGAATTTAAAAATATATCTGGTTTCCTTTTAATATACAATTTTAATTCAAGGAATATTTATTTAACTATTTTAATGACATTTTTAAAAAAAATATATGGACTTATCACTATGTCACAAAATAAATTTGGATAGACGTGGACTTAAAATATAAAATGGACTTATAAGTTATAACTATTACTTTTTGGAAACAGATCATTATATTTTCTTTTCATAAAACCTTAAAAAAACGAAAGGACAAATGATTGATAAAAGCTCTTTAACGTATTCAAATAAAATAAAATATTTTTTCTGTATTTGCAAAGTTGAAACATAAACATTTATTTACAAAACATAATAATTCTCACTTCTTATAAAATAACATAAATTAAGAAAATAAAAATTAATATTTTTCCTTGCCTAAAAATATAACTGATTTACTCGTATTATAATAATATTGTGATTTTATATATTTTAATCATTGAAAATAATCGAATGCATTTATTCCAAACGCTGGGTATTAAAAATGACTAAATATAATTATAATTTTAGTTCTTGGCCATCATGGCCAACATTTTATTTGCTCTTAGTTTTTTCTTTGTATGTTCTTGAAATATTGTACTAGGTATTTAAATTAAAATGAAAAACACCTAGGTATTTAACTAAAAATTGTTTATTTATATTTTTTATTCGATATTACCATGATATTACCCACAGGTATCTATAATGTCTTATCATAAAATCGTATTAAAAAATTATATTCTATTATTTTACTAATGTGAAATCATAATAACTCATAAGGATTTTAATCATAAGGAACTTAATTTTATGGTATCAAAGCTATCAAAGCTAAGCTCAGCTGATAAGATTCATAACATTTCTTGATAATATGCTATAATTATTTATGCCATAATATTAGTATTACAAGCTAAGTCATCATAAGAGTAATAATACTCTTTACTTTATCAAAACGTGTATAGGTAATTAAAAACAAAATAATATCACTGAACTTGTTTGTAGGTAATCAAACACAAATCATTATAAGTACACTTCTTTATAGTTAATGTTTATGCTCAAATATAATAAGTCCTACATCTGAAGACTGAAATATTTTAACTGCACTCATATAATAAGTCCGGACTTATAACATGTAGGCAGTTTATAAATTGGGGAATACAAATCAAATGTACGATAAGTCCAGACATATGATAAGTGTGCAATAAAATAACTGTACAAGTACAAAAATTAAGTACTTATCACTAAAAGTTTAGGACTTAATAAATTAAGGCAAAAATAAACACGGCTAACTACCATTCATGATAAGTGAAAATAGTTGATATCACATATAAAAAGTGAATTTGGAAATAATGAACTTATAGTAAGTCATAAGTGTGCAGTAAGCCATCGATTAATGTAATAATATATAATACCAATAAATCATAACTACCTGTTTTATATGGACCCGTCGCCACAAAACCCCCTATAATAATAACAACGATTATAATTATAATAACTAATAAAACGAAAGAAATCAAAAATAATGAAATATTGTTTCTAATATTTCTATTACATAATATTATTAGGCAGCGATGTTTCCTAGGAAAGTATTATCATCAGAAACAAAATGGCTGCGTAAAGGGATATCACAAATTTTTCTTATCATCAAAGACACGCTGACAAAAGCCACGGATATAGTATCTATATCCGTGCAAAAGCTAACAAATTCAAAATTCCCTTGCATGTATAGTTAATTATTATTGGCTCCCTTTACGCTGCCATTTTTGTTATTATCTTAATTAACAGTTAAAATAAACTCTATTTATATTTCAATAAATTGAAAGCCGCAAAATCGATAATGGCAGAGACTGCAGAGTTAGAGTCTGAGTGTCTATCCTACTCATGTTTATTTTTGAATAGTATCCAATAAGCAACATCACTTTTATTTATATTTCAGTACAATGATCCAATAGATGCATACAATTATAAATCTAAGAAATTATTATAATACAAGTTAATGATAATTATGAATTTATGAAGAATGGCCTGTACTGCCAAGTAATAATTTTAAATATTTTTATCTTGTTGTTTCTTAAATGTTTCTTACCAGTAACACCGCACTCTGAAAATAAAATGTTAAAAAAATTTATGTTTTTAAACTAGAGTGCAACATTTTAATACAGTAAGAGGCAGGGCTTGAAACCGGTAACCGATTTTTCCCGGTAACCGGTTACCATGAGTACTTTTTGGACTGGTATCCGCTTCCCGGTTCTCGAGTTTCAATTTTGAGAAGCGGTTATCAATTACCGGTAATCACGGAATTTGATAAAGGGGGAAATCGATAACGGTAACCGTTTATTTTTAGAACCGGTTAATTAATCGGAAGTATTCAAAACCGTAAATCTCAAACCAATTAACTTAAAAATAATTTTTTTTTAGTTATATTGAATATTCTAAATAGAAGAAAATAATATTTATAAAATACTAAAATTATTTTAGAACTACTAATAGTATTAAAATTTAAAAATACCAAAACAAGCGTGTTTGATTGCGGAATCGTATCGGCGCACTAACAAAAGATTCTCAGTAGTCAGTACCTATGATATAGGTACTGAATACTGATACGAATGGTAGAAACATCGACGAATGCGGGCTGATACATATATATAATAGTATATAACTCTTGCATGTACGATATTGTACCAAGTACTAGGTAATAGGTAGGTTATATAACTTATAATCAGGGACTGTTTTGATATTCATTATTTAATAATAAGTTCGTTACATTAGTTCGTAATAATAGTAATACTGAACAAAACTGTGTTGAACTATACTAAACATGTTAAGTTTGATGAAAAAAAATAGGGTAGGTATTAAAACAAAAAAAAAAACGGTTTTGTGAGGTAACCGGTAATTTTGAAGATTTAAAACCGCTTCCAAATAGATAACCGGTAATCCCATTTATAAAATTTATTTCGGTTAGCGGGAAATGATTATCATTATTTCTAAAAACCTCGATAACCGGTAACCGGTTCCAAAAAATTTGCCGGGTCCTATCGGACCCGGTAACCTATTTCTTCAGGAGCGGTTTCAAGCCCTGGACTAAGAGGTATCAATTCTGATTTAACAATCGCTTCAAGCCAGTAAATGCTGTTGGCATCCACGGAAGAGTAGGGGTACTCGTGAGTGCGCGATCAGCTCATATGTCAAATGGGGTACAGCCGTACAGACATAGACTTATAGAAGTAGATGGAACATTAAGTATGATAACGCGTGCAATGGTGGAGCTTGTTACGACTATTGGGCTCTATTAAAGGTATTGGATGTCCTCAGAACAGAGCTAGTGAAAACAATATCTATTTCAGCAGGTTTTTGGGGGTGGGAAGGAGGATTTAGGTTAAGGTTAGGATAGACTCTTTGGAGTTATTCGTTTCCACCAAAATAATAATTACCTACAGTTCCACCCAAATCTAGGCTTTTTGGTTTTTGTATATTTAATTTAGAACTATTTATTTGTATGGAACACTTAAAATTATATTTTTTGAACATTTCTTTATATTAGGAAGCAATAGTGATTTGTAAACTATCACTGAAATTGGACCACTCTATGAATGGAAACATGGAAATAATTTGGCCTGAACAAAAACTGAACCTTAGTAGAAATCAAAATTTAGTTTTTGACAGAAACAATGCATGCCAAAATTTTAGATTCTGAGCGGAGCGATGAATGTATTGGTTTTACAATGATGTGTGTTTTTTTTTATATTTTTATATTTTTTTTTGTGTCTGTCATCACGTTTTAGGACAGTAAAAGTGCTTGGATTTTCTTCAACAGTAGCTTTTCTGATAGGAAAGTGAATCTAGTTGGTACTTTGGGGGGGTCAAAAGTAAACATTTTCCAGTAGTTTTCACAAGCGCCGAGAAAAACAACATAAAAATTAAGGAAAAACGGGAATTTTTACTCAAAATCGGTTTTCCAAAAAATCGATTTTGGTTTTTGGTGTAACTCAAAAACAAATGAACGTATATACATGAAATTTTCACTGGTTGTTTATATTTGCATTTTCTATACACCATAACATTTTCAAAATATTTTGATTTATTTTGAACTGTTTAGGGACATTTTCATTTTCCATTTTTTTTTAGTTTTTTTTATAAAAATATCAATAAAATTTTATTTGTTGGTTGCAAAAGCTTGAAAATTTAATAGAAGGCTCCTAATATATTGTTTCAAAGGCAGATGAAAAATATTAAAAATCCTTGGTCACAATTTTTTTTTATAAGCATTTAAAGTTCAAAAATTGTAAAAATATGGAAAAATCACGAAAATTAGCGAATTATTTTGAGTTAAGAATTCGTAAAAATTTTTCTTTTTAAATCTAAGATTTGAAAATGTAATACAAGATTACTCATAAGTTTGTCTACCTTTATCAATAAAAAAAAATCTCTACAGGAAAGTCAAATTAAATTTTTATGAGCGTTTGAAATTCAAATTTTTACAACATTGGATGTTCACTCGATTTCTCATGTAGCGATTTCCTTATTTTGTTGTAATTCAAAAACGAATAACTGTAGATACATGAAAATTTCACTGAATGTTTATATTAGAATTTCCTATACACCATACAATTTTGAAAATATTTTGACTCATTTTAAGCTGTTAACGGACATTTACAGCTTTCAATTTTCTTTAGTTTTTTTTTCTATAAATATCAATTAAGTTTTATCTGTTGGGCCAAAATGTGTAAAAATTTAATACGAGGCTCCTGATATATTGTTACAATAGCAGTTGAAAAATATTAAAAATACATAGGCTTAGTTTTTCTTTATAAGCATTTAAAGATTGAATTTTGACAAAATGTATCAAAATCTCGAAAATTATCAATCATTGTAATTAATAAATGATAAAATGTTCAGTTTTTATAGCTAAGAATTGCAAATTTAAAACAAAGGTTCTCATAAATAGTTCATACTGTAGCCAAAAGATCTAAAAAATATATGAACACAGTTATTTTTTACAGACATTTTAAATTCAAATTTGGACGAAATTACATATTAAAAAACCTAGAACAACTATTTTAGTTATTTTGTTGTGATTGAATAATATTATTCGTGGATACTTGAAACTTCTAAAGTGTACTATTGTATATCTATGATAGTATCACGGTTTTTGTTGATGTATAACGCGTTATAAGTACCTAATGGATATTTTGATATGATTAATTTTGGAATTTATTATAGGTACCTACCTATTATAGGTCAAATTTTGGTTTAGTACCATAGATATGTATAATGTATATAATATGTCTTATACCTAGACTGACATACTGTCTCCGCTCAGAATCGTTTTTCTTATACAATGATATTATATCGTTGAATTCAAATTTAATATCATCCATTATACAGTGACCCACTTGTAACCTACTGTACAGCAGAGCGACACCCACTTGCCCACCTTTTTTTTTTTAATTTTTATTATTTATTCACAATCCGTATGAGACACAATATAAGAGTATGAGCTACATAAAAAGGAAACAAGAACAATTTAAACAAAGAACCGCCCATTGATAACACTTTCGTCTTTTAATTTTAATTTTTTTGCTCCAATTTTGCTTGCCCTAATCTTTAAACTGTAAATTACACTGTAAACCTTTTATTATAGCTAATGCATATATTGGACAAAAAATTAGGCTCATACTAGTCATACTATTCATATAATTAAATATACTTAATAGTTTTTAATGTTATCGGTGGGTGGGAAATTGTAGTGTAGCCGTGTAGGTAAGTGGAAAATCCCTTTTTTCAGTTTAAACATTCAGTATTGTCGAATTATACGTAGTGGGCATTGGACAATGACATTATGATCAGTTAAAAGATATTTTCTTATAATTCAATTGTTAGATCAAAATTAAGGTATTTAACAACAAGAGTGGGTACAACATTTTTATATTATTTCTGGGGTACTAATACAGTAATACTTGCTTACCTTGGTTCCCCTTCCCATCAGGCGGATTTGTTATGCCTAAAAATGTACAGAATGATTGTTTATTAAATTTATTAATAATAATATTAATACTTATAAGCTATAATACTACAATAGTAATTTATTCACATGAAATATATTTTAAATATGTATACACATCATTAAAATAATTAAGAAATATACTTTTTTTTTTTTAAATCATGTATTTTAATGAATATTTACAATCTGTACTAGGGGGCACAATAAGTAAAATGTTTAGCATAATGGTGAAAAGGACAGTTAAAGAACTGAAGGAGCTTCACATTCGAAGCATCTGAACTTAAATAATTCCCTTAAAAGGTATGCATCAGATATTGAGTAGGTTTCTAGGCGAGTTGCGTTTGAGGCGTCTTGGCGGGTTTTCTGGAAGATGGTTGGAGTGAAGTTGAGAGATGAGACAGTTGGGGTGGTCGGCCGTTTTGGAGTGGAGGCGAGTATAGAATTTGGCAGCTGTTTGTTTGATAGTAGCAATTTTTAGCTCGTTGTGGAGGTTGACATTGGTAAAGTACCAGTGGGTATCAGCATCACAGTCATTCGTAGGCAAATGGATTAGAAAGCTTGGATAGTTCTAGTGTTAGCTGGTTTGGCTGAACCCCAGAAAGTAATATATTTATAAACTAAACTAATTCATATCTTTGGGAGTATTAATTATTTTTTTCACTTAAAAAAGATTATTTTTCTGGTTTTGTAATCTAAAAATTTAAGAACATCGCAGTATGGATTACAGAAACCATTTTTAATTATAAACAAAGCGAGGTCCTTAATTGTTGTGTTTAATAATCTTCCTTTAATTTGTCTGGTAAAATATGGAGAAATGTCATCGTTATTTTATATTTATAAAATATTATTTCAATGATACATCAAATATCTATACTGACAGTGAAATTTGATTCATACTTAAATATGCACACATACACAATACTACAATAGATAGATAAAGTCATAAAGACGTTATCGTCGTTATTAAAATCATAAAATATAGAACGATCTACAAAATTAATGATATATGGTCACAATAATAATATTATACCTTAACTACTAATAATACAAGTTTTATTTTTAGGTACGGAAAAAACTGAGTAAAACTGTAAAAGCCACAGATACCTATAATATATAATAACTAGATACCCGACTCCATAACTCTATGTTATACAACACATTGTTGAATTATGATGCCCAACGCCATTAGTCACTTTGGCAATGTTTACAAATTCTAATCGTTTTGATTGGCAACGGGTTTGTTTGATATGAAATGCTGTTGTTTATAATCATATTACCTTTCGGTATTCGTTCAATATGCTATCTACAGCACGTTTGATGGTTTAGATTGCTATCTACCGTAAACATTTTATTTACCGTCATTTTATGTTGGTGAAGTATGATATCAACACGTATTTACTATCTACAAATGTAAATTGTCTTACCTTTATAATGTTGTATTTCTACTTGCATTTTCACTTGTATACACTGTACTATATAGTTTGTAGTTATGTATACGTATTTCTGACCGCTCCGAGGAATAATTCGAACAGGTCTTCAGTTGGTTTTTGTAACGAGCGTCACCGCTCTTCTTGAAGTTGGGATGGTAATATGTTAGTCACTCCCAATGTTTTAATGTTGTATTTATTTTTGACCTGTCTCCAAAGAGTGTCTATAGTTTGTGTCTCAACACCAGTTATTGGGTCAATGAAATTTTCCGAATGATTAACCGTTTTATAGATAAACCCATGTTCATTTAAAGTAGAACACTCACTCCATTTATCGGAATATATAGTAGTACCTTGTTCAACTTCATTTAATATAATTGGTAGTAAAGTATTTCGATCACGCTTTTCAACTTTAAAAAAACGTCTCTCTAAAATGCCATCATGCTTACAACACAAACCAAAAATCCATGGCCCTTGAATTCGTTGTCCGTCGTAATTTTCATTATTTATTACATTGTCTTCATCTGAACTCTCTTCAGCTTCATCAGACTTTTCCTCAGGTTTGCGATCTCCAAGAAGTAATCTTCCATGGAACAAGGATTCGTCTATTTGCACAACTAGGCCAGGACCTCCCATTTTCTTACGATTTTGAAATTCATCTACTGCTAAGTTTCGACATAAATTATTATACCAGTCAACTCTAGTTGATCTTGATCTTTTCTTAAACACCTCGGCTTGTGTTACCTTTATTTGAAATATCCAATACCAAACAAGTTCTATACGATATCGCACAAATTTAAAACACTGTTACACTTCCCATTTTTATCCCTACACTTAAAAATGTTATTGTTTTTGAGTATGAAGTGATATGTTTGGCACCCTTTTTTTCTACATCGATTATACATTGTTTTCAAAATATTATCTTCCTAATCACGTTTTCGACTATTTTTCAGAACATTTTTCAACTCAATTTTAAATAATGAAATAATGTTTTTAATTTTGGTACATGTTTGGTCATTTGGTAATAAACCACGTAGGTATTTTTTAAAATATGTGGGCACATCTCTTCATTTTGAATTATGTGTCGATATAAATAACTTATAGTTGACAAACTCATAATAATAATTAATTAATAAATTATAATAAATAAAACACAGTAAAACCCCATATAATCGACACGACTCGCAACCTAACCTAACCTAACCTAACCCAACATAAAGGTATACCTACCTATATTAAGGTATAAATATAATATAATTTGGGATTTCGATAAAAGATGAAAAAAAAAAAAATTATAAACCATATTATATAACAGGGGTGGCCAAACCACGGCTCGCGTCATAGACTTTTGCGACTCGCATCTTATCGTAACATTTAAAAAAAAAAATTTTTAATATGAATTTATGTATTTGAAAAAGTATAATATTTTATTAAATTAAATTAAATTATTAAATTACAGTTAAATTTTTCTTTTTAAAATCAGGACTATATGTTGTTATCCATGTGTGTCTGTATGATATTTTGATATTTATGGTATTTATGAAGATAAAATTTAATTTGAGATTATTGTACAATTATTGTTATCTTATTCTTTACATTTTATTAAATACCATACCTTAACTTATCTTATTTACAATAATAATAATACAATATCTGATATATAAATATGTATATAAAAATTATATAATAATATGACCTTTTTTTTTTTTTTTACATTTTGGCTCTTCCATATTTATTAATATATTTGGTGGCTCGCAAGTCATTTCTCGCTGGCCACCCCTGTTATATAATAGGTATATCCAAATACCTATATCATACTATGAGAGTATACAGTAGCTACAGGCGATATAGCACACGGACATACAGTCATACAGAAGATATCATACTAAACTATCATAAAATTACGGTAGATAAAATATTTACATATTGGACTAGTACCACTTTCTAACGATTAGTAAACATTGCCCAAGTTGTAAATGTCTGCCAGCCTCATTACTCATTGATAAGAAGAAGTCGGGTGTCTAGTTATTATATTATATATCTGTGGTAAAAGCAAAAACAAATTGATTTTTGTATTGATAAAATATTTTATATTTTGAATGTTATTAATTATTTTTCTTTGATCACTTCTTTTTCTTCTTCTTATCGTGTCCGATCTTTGATATTTAATTCGAGACTTTGGGTAGCATAATAAGTACTAAAATATTTAATTTCGCACTTCCATAATTAAAAAAATCAGAAATCTAGATCGTACTTTGAGAAGTTTATATAATTCTAAAATTATGTTTCATTTAGTTAAATAAAGTTTAATAATACAACTTATCGTCAAAATTCCAGTAAGTATAATGTGATTTATAAAACTATCTAGATACCAATCAAAAAATTAAAATATTTTACCAGAATTTAATAGAATAATTTATGCTTAAAATCTATTCAAATCACAGTCATGCATAATAAGTATTTATAACAATTTTTAGATTTCTCACTCTTTGAAATTTTAAAATTTTAAATTGCATTTGTTTATACTCTTGTCTCATTTAATGTAAGCATGGAAATTCATATTGCTCATATAACACTCTATCTAGATTATTACAGAGTTCATTATTTTCACACGATCGCAAACTGTTTATGGTGAAGTAAATAATATAAAACTTAAGATAACTTAAATAATTAATAAGTAATACCTAAGTAAGTTAATAGTTAATAATATATACCTAATATAGATATCTTAAATAGTAACTCCCTATGGTCCACAGTCCTCAGTCCTCACAAGCATATCTTAAATAAGATATATACCTAACTCAATTGTATATTGTATAACTTGTATATTTGTTTTTTCTTAAATTAATATAAAAATATATGTATAACACCTAAAAATAAAGTAGATTATAATTACCTGCACTAGCATAATTTAAAGTAAAACCAACTATAATAATAGATATCACGTCTATATTACTACTAAAGCGAACCATTGTTGCTATCGGTTATAAAAGGTAAATTATACTGATATAATAAACTAGAAGAAAGAAATCAAAAATAATGAAATAATGTTTTTAATATTTCCATTACGTAATAATGTATATACAATGATTTACCTATCTCCAGTACAATATATAGTTCTTAACAAAATTCACAACAAATATTTTTAGGCAGTACCTATTAGGTTGAATACGCAGTGATGTTTAAGCGGTTTGTAACATTATAGACCAATTTGAATTAATATTTTATGAAAATATTCAGGTGTGTAAATAATAAATTATAACTACGCACAATTTAATACGTCCATGGTTTAAATGATCTAAACCAGAGGTTCCCAAACTTTTTATTGTACGACCCATTTTCAAAATTTTTTAAAATATGGCGACTCACAATATAAATGAATGACCTTTTTTTTTTTTACCATACAACAGAAAATTAAACTATTTTATTAAATTTTATGTAATTACGAAAAAAAAGTATAATAAGTATAATATATTAGTAATTTAATAAGTATATAATTTATGTAGTTACTAAAAAAAAAGTATAATAAGTATAATATATTAGTTATTTAATAAGTATATAATTTTAATGTGAAGGATGGAATTGTTTCCTATTTTTTTTCATCACATCATCGATATCAACATTGGTAAACTTGAGATGCAGTGAGTTTGAAAGTTTCAATTTGCTTCGCAATTTGGTTTTAATAGCAACCATATTGCCGAAAAACCAACCTCACAATTATATGATGAAATGAATTTGAGTAGCATCTTTACAGCTTCATTGGAAACAGTTGGATAATTTTCTTGAACTGATAACCAGAAACTTATTAATTTTTTTCGATTGAAATCCATTTTAAACACACTATCTTCAAATAGTTCGATTAATTCTTCTTTAGCTCTTATTGATAACCCACTTGTCATGTTATGTTCTTGAAAAGGATTTGAAATCCATTTCATTTGCTGATAGTTCTCCATTTCACTCAGAAAATATGAATCGAAATTATCTTTTAGTGTTTGTAAATGATCAGAAACAGATATAATAATGCTATCATCAACTTCTATTTGATTTTCAATTGTAATTGTCCCACTCACAGTCAGTCACAGATAAGGATTGACGATAAAACTGAATTTGAACTTTGAACATCAACGAAAAGTAATAGATGATTATATTTTTGTATTATTTAAAAAAATAGCGCGACCCACCAAAAGTATAATCGCGACCCACTTTTGTGTCACGACCCACAGTTTGGGAACCTCTGATCTAAACAATAGGTACCTTGGTATATTGTTTACCTACACATAATGCATAACTATGACGTGTGTTAAATCTACTTGCCATAGCCCGCAATATCAACATAGAAAACTACTAAGTAAAATATCACATATATGGTTTACAGAAAAAGCCAACATAAAAGTTTAGTTAAAATGTACTTAAGGTTATACTTTTATGAACGGCAACAAAAAAATCATATTGGTGTTATGGTATTTTCATTTTTCTGCTGTTTTGAAGCTACTGACAATGGTAACATGACGTCGTCTACAATTCTAAGAACAGTAAAAGTATCACACAAGTACGCGCATGCACAGGTCACCAAATTGAATTTTTGACATTTTTTCATTTTTTAAAAATCGGTACAAAATAACTATGAGAGAAAGACATATTTAATTAATTCCCATGACCTGATTTAAATTTTGAAAATATATCTATATTTGATTAATTTTTTACTAGGTTATGTAGGGAAAATAATTGATGTTTTAAAACTGAATTTAAGTGTATAAAATAAAAATATTTTCATAATTTTTTTAAAAAGTTAACATATTTTTTAAGCCTTATTGAATACAAAAATCAAAAATCTGTTCCTTACATAACCTAGAAAAGGGGACGATGAGTATCTCCGAACGAGTACTCAGTTCCGACATCCCTCTTTTACATCTCAATTATCGTGGGCAATCATTTCATCAAGTTTAACACAAGTTAAAATACTTGGACTAATTTTGATTCTAAAGGAACTTGGCTTCCTTTTATTCAACACATCAAAAACTTATGTTACCAAAAAATAATCATCATCAAAACAATCTTGCACACCTCAGGGAGGACTTAATCTGGCATCTTATTAAAAACCCATAAAACCTTTATCCTTCTCAAAAACGACTACAGAGCGCTTTATTTCTCTACAACCAAACAATTTCACCTCAAAATACTGGAACCAGTACACAACAAAATAATTTTTCCATTTATTGGAGCTTTCAGAAACAGCCCCACCAACAATATAACTTCAGTATACAGTACTTGATATACTTAACTACAGTATATCCTGCCTTCCACCTTTGTCCATCAGATGGTCAGAAAAAACCGCCAAAATTGCAGCCAGAATGGCAAGAGCCATTCAAGGTCTCCTCCATTCTTTCCCAAATTCCATCTCTAATACTACACATAAAAATATAACTAGAACTAGGACCAACTCCCTAAAAAATCAACCAACTCCACTCAATACAGAAATCTCCTTAAGGAAATGCTATCACTACCTCAACATGCACTTATATTCAAGGACGAATTTGTCCTGAAGTACTGTGCTGGAATGAATATCATCTACTGAGATATCCAACACTAATCAAAAACTATCAAATATATGCTCCGTATTCCATGGAAGCGCTGGTTATCCGCCTTAAGGCCATTGAGTTGAAGCCAGGCAGATTTTAATTCTTAGAGACTACATTTCGACTATAGTTAGTATCCAGAACCTATGGAAACCAACTGACATAGCAAGAAACATACAAAATGTCCATTACTGATTCATCCACATCCGTAAACACATATATCACCCATGTAAATCCCAGGTGGTCAGGCCATTGCAATTTTGGAGGCAACAAACAGGCTGATATTGCCACAAAACTTGCCCTCTCAACCAACAACTCTACTTCACTCCAGGTTTCTCCTACCAGGACGGCGAAAGAATTATTGCCAATGACACACATGACTTATTGGGAAAACAAATGGCATAAACTGTCAACCAAATTACACGAGATCTCAAAAGAACCACCGATCCTTGGATTTTCCCCAAATATATTACCAGAAAATAGGAGACAGTGATCACTTATCTTAGGATAGGTCACAACACATTACCCACCACACCTCACGAAGAGAGAAGAACCACCAATTTTTACCAGCTGTGGCACCCTATTAACCGTCAACAACTGACACACATCCTTACAGAATGACATTGATTCAAAAAGATGTAACGTCACAGAATTTTGACGCTTTTATCAATTATGAAAGACGTAAACCCACCTCTGTAAAATCTCCAACATTATTACAAACAGTAATATATTATCGCAAGCAATATTCATAAGTATAAATAATTAATAGTATTAAGCAATCATTCCCCCGATCCCCTATCATACTCTAGCGGTCGGTCGAAACACTTTAAATTGTCCTCTGGTCATCGTTGCCGTCAGCATCATTTCGCCGACACGTGCACCCGGGGCAACCTGTTCTCCAGGTGATCAAATATTCAAATGATCATTGATGTCACGGGCTTTATTTAATAAAAAAATAGTAATAATAATGAAAATAGTAATTTAATTACCTGGTATTTTTCCCTTCTCTCTGATTTCTGCCCATATTGTTATTGTCAAATTTATTGGTCCTGATTATATCGGAGGAACCATGGTTACACAGAACCAATGTTTACGAACTTTTTTCGATTAAAAAGCTCATCCATTTTTAATTTTGTAAATTAATAAAGCTTGATTACACAAACTCAAACCACTAGTAAGATGTTATTTTTCTACTAAAGACAAAATTTGTGAGGCCTCGTGACTAGAAAATATTTGTGATGTTAGAAAATCAAAACGTGCTATCGCGCGAGAGGTACGAAATGAGACGTGACACGTATGAGATGACATTAGTGTGATGGTGACTTCTGATACAAAAATTCTATATTTATAAGTAATACGTATATATCCTACACTTTTTTCCCGTGACTATGATAGGCGATAGCATATATAGCACGTATATAGCACAATACACAGTACTACACAGCAGTGGCGTGGCGACAAGATTTTTTAGTAGGGGCGAATACATTTTTTTGGTACCCACCCACGTCCCACAGATTATAATACCCCCTTAATTGTATTGTGTAGTGCACAGTAGTCAGTGACCAGAGTGACTGTGTCCCAGCTTAACAGACGGGACGGAACGAAAAGTTCCAAAAAAATAAACAGTTATCCGTACCACCCTCGATAATAGTTATGGTGGCTTCAGCATGTCTTCTATTATCGATTACTAATATGAATTATAACACAAACGTATTTCATAGTCCTTTGTTGTTAACTGTATAAACCTTATAATGCCGTAATGGTGACATGTGCAGGTACATTTCCACCAATCGTAATATGATACTTATATTATGTGTAGTTGTCTAGCATACTTAAATTATACTGAATACCTATGGAACATGTATCAATAATATTATTAACTATCATTGTTATAATAATATTAATAGATTTAGGTACGGACTACGGGATCGGGACGACGCAACGACGAAAAAAAACAGATTGAAAAAATATTTAAAATAAAACTTATTAAAACTAACTTAAAATTCTATCCATCCTCTTACCAACTTCTCTCAAAATCATATCCAATCCTGTGCCATCTCAATCACACTTAATAATATTCCTGTTGTTATTGCAGCAGTTTACAGCCCTCCCAAGCACCTTATAACAGACACTAATCTCACCGAATATTTTGACACATTTCCTAACAACTTTATTGCGGGTGGTGACTTTAATGCTAAGCACCAAAGCTGGGGCTGCCGAGTTACTAACCCACGCGGCAACCTTTTTCATAATTTTACCAATATTAAAAAATTTCAAAAACTTGCACCACCTGATCCAACATACTGGCCAACATCGCGCAGGAAAAAACCTGATATTCTGGACATATTTGTTTCAAAAATTCCAAGTAATTTATACTGTGCTGTAAACAACATTTTAGCCTTAAACTCGGATTACTCATCTGTAATACTAAATGTCGATGCGACTCCTCAAACAAATCCAGGTAGTCACTCTCTTTTCTCACCATCAACCAATCGTTATACATTTCATAACATAATTGCCCAAAAAGTTGATCTTTCAATTAAGTTAAAGTCCGAGCACGATATTGACGAAGCAATCAATAACTTATCCAAACTTATCTACTCAGCAGCCTCAGCCTCATTATCCAATACCTTAACCACCTCCAAGCACTCAATCCAGAAGCAGACTCCCCTTCCTGAACAAATACTCTCACTAATTGTGGAAAAACGTAGAGCCAGAGCAGTTTATCAACGCACGCGTCTGCCGTCACCCAAAAGCGCTTATAATAAGTTAGCTAACTCCCTAAAAAAAACCCTAGCTAAAAACAAAGCGGATACACTAGAACAAAAACTAACTTATCTTTCATATTCTGACGGTAGCTTATGGAAAGAAACCAAGAAGTTACTTAGTTTTAAAACTCCTTTTACCCCTTTAAAGAAACCTGACCATACACTTGCTTCTTCTGATACCGATAAAGCCGAAGTTCTTAAAGCACACCTTCAGGAAACCTTCCAGCCACATCATAACATATTCATACCCCAATTTGTTGATGAGGTAAAGGCTGGTTCAGACCTTCCCTCAACCTCTAATCATCTTGAAAAACATTTCACGCCCAACGAAATCAAACAGGCTATCCTAAAATACTCCTTAAAAAAATTGCCGGGTTTCGACCTATTAACGGCAGAAGTATCTAGATGCCTCCCCAAAAAAGCAATAATACTGGTAACATATATATTTAATGCATGCCTAAGACTCTCCTACTTTCCGATCCTTTGGAAATTCTCAAAAATTATATTATTTCCTAAACCTGATAAACCCTTGGACGACCCATCCTCATACAGGCTGATAAGTCTCTTGCCCTTCTTATCGAAAATTTTTGAAAGACTTATCCTCAAACG